GTGCTACTAGTATAGACTAAGTATAGTAAATTAGAGAATTGAATCTTAGTAGGGATAACTTATAAAATTAACGAATTTTGTCTTCTACGTACGGTGCCTTTCCTCTTCCTTCTTTCCTAGTATTATACTAATAATTAGAAAAGCGCTACTTCCACTCCCTTTAGTTAGAAGGCCACTTTTCACCGACTAACCCTATAGATTAGGTTATACTACTTACTATCTATATGCCTATCGTACGGAGGCATATTAATATATTTGTGAAGATATAGAATATATATTTAATTCGCAAATAGCCTTACCGACTAACTTCTATCCCTAGAAAGCTATATATAAACTTTCGACCCCTAAATATTGCTTAGAAATAACGAGCACGAAGGGATCGGACGTAAGGAACCCGTGAAATTAAGGACTACCGCTATTCTTTCAATCCTACCCTTCTTAATATACTTCGTGAAGCTACTTAGGACTAGGATGCTAATAAATATCTTCCACCTGATATCCTTTTTTAGTGCCGTACGGAGCTTTCTAATATTGGGTTTAACCTAGACGATCCTCTATTATTTTAAGCCTATAAGACTAATTAACTACACTGTACGATATATCTTAAGCTACGATCTCGGGTATACTAGTATAAAAACCTTAGATATTTACCTATTCTCCGTGTGTGTAAGAAACCCTTAGCGACTAATTAATTGCTTTTTTATTTTTTATTTGCCCTAGTTAGTCTAGTTTAAAATTATAATATTTTGTTTCCTCCTATCCTTTTTCTTTCTCTTTCTCTTTATATTTCTCCTACCGTACGATTACGATAGGGTTCTTTAACTATAATACCAATCTTAGTGAGATTATCGATCTCACTAATTCACTAGCGTCTTTAATATAGCTTATTCTAAGCTCTTCTTTTATTATATCGTAGTCTCGGACGACGTTAGTAGACGGGCTATCACCTCTTCTTTCTAGTCAAATAAACTATCGGCGCTAAGGTCTATTTTACCAATATACCGAGCTATCTTAGCGGCAGCTCCTTTTAAATAGACTAAACCGTACGGTCTCGTAAGCTCGTCGTGAAAATCGGCTTACTCGCGCTCCTCCCCGGGCCCCCCTACGTACGATTATCAATTTGTGTATATAGTACTACTTAGGTAACGGAAAGAAGTTAAAGATCCTTAAAGAGATTAGTATAGTATAGGATTCCTACTATTTTACTATATTTACTAACTTATTACCTACTATAGTAACTATCGTATATAAATTCTAGCCACGAATAATCACTAGCTTCTAAGATCTTATCGTTAATAAGCTCCTTCCCGCAATCCCTCGGAATATATAGTCGTACGAAGCTAAGGATAATAATATACTCCTTCTTGCGAGTAGTATTAAGGGTAAAACCCTAGTTTTACTCTCTAAATCATTTAATATCGCCTAAAATATAGAAGACCTATTTAAGGAGTTTTATATAAAGAGTAGTACTAGGGAAAGTGTGCTTTTTGTGATTATTAGGCGTACGATACAAGGAAAGGAGATTAAGTAGGAGGAGGCCCTCCGTACGGAGGAGGATATTAAGATAAAGGAGGAGCCTAATCTTAATATACCTTTATAGCTAGAGTCTCTATAGTTAGAGCCTCTATAGCGGGAGGAGTCTCTTTCGTCCCTTAAGTCACTATCGACTATGCTTAGTCTACATAATAAGTAGTGCCCGCCTCCGGCTACTACTACCGTACGCCAATATAGAAAGGCATAGTTAAAGGCTAAGGGAAAGCGGCGGTGCCCTTTACCTTAGCCACTACCTTCTACTCCACTAGCCCATCGTACGAGGGCTTATTTAAAGCGCCTTTAAGAGCAGAGATAGTGAGGAGATTGTGAATTTTGTCTAGTTTTATTTTTCTTTGTTAGTAAATTATGCGTTTTAATTATAAAAGATTAATTAATCACTTAAAGTTTATGGCTGTAGTATAATAAAGGACCCTTACTACCTTCGTACGGTAGTCCCTAGGTAGCGTAGGTGAATATAAAGGTGAATATAGAGTATTTTATAAAAGGTTGGTGCCTAGATCCTAAGGCTAAGATCTAGGGAACCCTATGAAAAGCCTTATTTATGGGGCCCTTATACGTCTAATACTAATATAATTAAAATGCTAGCTATTTACCATGCTTACCTACTAGTATGCCAATTTCTAGCTTATTTTTAGCACTATACGGTGGTCCCTAGGTAGCGTGGGTGAATATAAAGCTTTTAACAAAATATTGATGCCTAAATTCTAAGGCTGAGATCTAGGAAACCCTATGAAAAACCTTATTTACGGGGCCCTTATACGTCCGATACTAATATAATTAAAATACTAGCTATTTACTATGCTTACCTACTAGTATGCCAATTTTTAGCTAATTTTTAGCACTATACGGTACGTAGGTGAATATAAAGCTTTTGACAAAAGGTTGATGCCTAAATCCTAAGGCTACTATACGGTGGGTGACCACGAATCAAGGGGTAGCTACTAAGCCTAATTAAGAATTAGCTTCTCTAATTGGTCGATACTATAGTAGATTTATGAAAATATTATAGTTATGTCTCTCTCTTCTAGTTCTTCTTCTCTCTCTTTAAACTATCTCTCTTTTTTTTTTTAAAGAATAATAATATATCTTCGTACGCTAGGCTAAGCTACCTCCCCCTATGACTGTTAATTTGTGGATATATATACTAACCTAATACCGTCCGATAGTCCTACGTCCCCCGCTCCGGCGGACCCTTTCTCTCCGGGTGCTGCTATTTATAGTACCTTATCGGGTGGTAACAATGCTCTTAGAGGTAGAGCTTCTATACGTATAACGCCTTTAGCTGAATACACTATCCTTTAGGGTATTGTGAATAGCTTACCTAACCTAGTAGGCGGATAGGGAATTGCGCTATAATAGTTAATTGAGTTCTATAAGGGACGTTTGGTGACTAGGGCTATGTATAGCTAGCCTATAGATAGACCTATTCCTTCGAATTCCGGAGAGTATAATACTTTCGTACGGTTTATCGGATATAGAATCTCTATCTCTCGCTTACTATTCCTAGTTGTAAGCCCACTTTTTGAGCGCTTTATACATAGCGAGTAGTCTTACGCCGTGTTTGCCCTACCGGGCCACGATGTCTATTTCGTACGTTATAGTATAAATAGGTATTAGCTTACACGGATTAGACCCTCGTACGTGAATACTCTGTTAATCTAATCGCGTGGATTGCCTATCTAGGCTGAGTGCGAGTAATACCGTCGTAAGCGTGCTTGCCTTAGTGGACTAAGGCCTTTCCCTTTGTGTGTTCGTCTCCCGGGCCACTTTGGCGGTTATTGTGGGAATTGCAAATAGTCTGACTATGCTTCCCGCTGCACCGTACGTGATCAACGAGCTAGACGAAGTGGCTTAAGAAGTTAGCCCTCTGCTCCTAGTGCTAGTCCCGTAGTCCTCCTTCTCCTTGTTGGCACAATTAACCGTCCGATCGTGCTAGATAACAGCGTCTATAACCGCGAGGTTATTGACCTCTCCGACTAGGGAAGGACTACTATTTCTTTCTTTTTTTTGCTTCCCCTACACCCCAGCCGTACGGGATACCTGTGTACGGCGCCCTAAGCAATGACTTGCACCTTTACGTGGTGCTTAGGATCAGTAGCCTTAATGGTGAAACTAAGCAAGTCGACTATATTGGTATGTATAGCGGTGGCAGTATTAGTAATAAATATGCGGCAGAATTAGTTTTGAGCTTAAGGCCTTATTAGACTGCCGTATCCCCGGAAACAAACGTGACTTGGCCGACCCGGGTAAATGATACGCAACGCCGAGAACGTTTCCTGAAGGTCAAGGGCCATATGCAATTTGATGCTGCTTTCTGATTAGCTTGAGCCTCACGGGTTCTTTCAAACTCATAGTGCTGCACCTTATTACGTCCTGGCAGGGAGACGACTCGGTTCTCAACTATCGCATGATATGCCCCAAAAGATGAAATCTTAATGTACTATTGCCATGAAGAACCGCGAAATGTAAAAACCGCGATCTCAAGCCATGGCCCGGTTTTATTCTTGCCTCGGGCATAAATGTTGGAGATTCGAGTGTGAAGGCGATACGCATCCGTAGCTGAGGACAGTATGTTCACGATGAATTATAAGTATCAAGAGTAGGTTCAATTGTCTCTAGATACAAAAAAATATTCTCCTCGCGTAAGGGGGAACGCAAAACCACAACCCGAGACCGCATTCAGCCAAACAATTCGGCGACGATAGAATAGCGACCTTTTCAGCGCTTATTTATTTTTTGTCCAGAATATATATGCCTGCAGACTCCCCGCAACAAAATAGGCCCGACGGGGATAAACATCTCTGCGGGCCGAAACAAGTAAATGTTGAATGATTTCGTGAAACATTGTTCGAAAATGAGATTTGGGTTGACTTATTCCTGGACCAACGCACCTCCCAGTTAATGAGGGTAGTTTGTTACGTTCGATCAGCATCAAGCAGAGGCTCGTGCATTTTCCCGAGCCTGGCAGCGGATTTTTCCCATTGCATCCAGGTACTGTTTAAAAATACGGTGGTAACCGTTTCGTCTCTGGTCATTCATGCACAGCATTAATACGCTAGTTCGTATGCGTTCGTCAACACATGCCCGGCTGGATTCAAGACTGAGTCTTGTAGGGTCTCATGAACTATGCTGAAAAGATGCGAAGAACTATATCCTGATCCGCAAGTCTTTGTGAGATTGGATCATATTACTGTATGGTCTACACTCTGACGTCTTGATTATTGCACTACAGCTTAATATAATTTTACTTTCGTTTCGTTTTCTTTCCTCTTCTTTAGATTGTCAAGTTGACATACTATCATACGAAAGCTTTCAAGGGGATGTGGTAGACCCTGTCATGCACGTTTAGTTCAATGCTTGATTCGATGTGCTTGTGTGGATATGCGTATTGAGTAATGTGTTTGAATTCCTAAGTGTGGAGTATTCTGTATTTCTTCTCTAGCTGTCTACAGTTGCTTCGCAAATGCAGTAACGAACGTATTCCACACCAATACATCAAGGCTCTTCCCCGCTTCCTTCACAGCTGCACTCCCAAGTACTTTCTCTCTGATCTAAAATCTCAAAGTCAGCCAACTGTTCTCAACCCACCAACAAAATCAAAAGATATTTTAAGCTCACCTCACTACTCTCCCACCCCAACACACCAACCCACCTCTTCTCCTCTAGATTTAGACTCGTCCCTTGAATACTATTCCCATTCCCATTCACACCACCCGCCTCTGCAACCGCACTAACAAACTTCTCCCACGCCCCCCTCGCCTCCACTACTTTCCCATCCCCCTCCCCAATCTTCACCTGCCACACCTCCGTCAACGCACTCCCAAACACCTCACTCGGCTCGAAATCGGTATTATATAGCTGTGGGACTGGCGGTGCAACAGAGTGAGGCTTCACGATGGATTTGAAGGTCTGGAAATTTTCTGATGCGACGAAGGTGTTGAAATGTGAGGCGTCTTCCCACTCTGTCGAAGCATCAGCATTAGACTATGTTCGAATTTGCGCGAGCGCTAAGAGGAGGGAAAGAGATGGCAGTAGGACGGGGACGGAGGCGATGACAGCAAGAGAAAGGGAAAGAGGAAAGGGAAAGAGAAAGGGAGAAGGAAGAGGAAATGACGAACCAAGGCCAACACAAAGTCTAAAGTCCCCCGACACATCATTGCCATTCTCGAGGAGAATCTTCCCGAAGTATTTGAACTTGGGAGGAGTGACATGTGTATCAAGGATTGTGATGAGAAAGGGTGCGATCTCGGTGGTGAATGTTGCTTCCGTTACGGGATCTGTCTTCAATGTTGGGACGACGAACTCGGTGAAGGCCATTTTTGCTGTTGTGTTTAGTTGGGAAATTGAAGGATAAGAAATTGTATGTGAGATGAAGAGCTTGGAATTGAACTTCTTATATATAATCTTCCCTCATCCACTTTCTCTCTCCCGCCTCATACTAATCATTCAAAAACCTAACGGCCGAAACTCACAATTCGTCCCAAAAAAAGTCATAGGTTACGTCATCTCTCAACAGAACCTCTAGGCCGAAGCCGAAATCCGCTCGCATTTATAATCAGGTAAGCTCTCATCGTTGAAAATTTTCGTGCCTTACAGGGTAATTCCGGTAAAATTCCCGCACCAAAAAAAGCGATCCACCCCTTAGAACGGGGTTGCCCTATCTAATTGATGAGAAATCTGAGTAATCCACAAACCTTACCCAGACCTTTTCTCCGTGAGAGTGGCGGTGGTGTGTGTCTGGTAAGTTTGTGCAGGGGTAGTATCAGAGAGCAAACTTGTAAAACAGCCCCGCGGCCCCCACCAGTCTCGTAATAATTCTCGATGGCTCCTTAGAATCGCTTATAAATGTGGTTCTTTTGATGAGTGATCAAAACCGTGCTGCGTGCTGGTCTAGTAACAAGCTGGCAGAGTAATAAGGAACCGAGAATAAAACAGATCGACGCTAGTTTCTCGGCCTATCTGTTGTGATTACTGATCATTGATTTATCAGTCAAATATAGTGGTGGTTTCGCCACGAAACGTCAGATCATATGGGGCAGATGTATTAGTCAGATGAGCTCCACGGGCTTATAAAAATGCTAGTTGACCCCTCTATATCAAATTTGATGATATCATGACCTCATCATAAGTCGATAAAGGCCAAGCAACACCAAGACCAAGAAAGATGCCCCGTTTTCAGAGTTCTTTCGATGGCGCAGAGCTTTTCTTTCGGGACTATATTCCCTCTTCAGTCACTGCACCATATAATCCAGACAGCCAACATGGCGATAAGCAACAGCCAGCGATAGTTTTCTTGCATCAATGGCCGCTGTCCTCAGCAATGTGGCAGCCTTTGATGGTACAACTCACTGAGACCTACCGATTCCGCTGTATCGCTCCAGATCGACGGGGCTTCGGGCGGAGCGACTGGAATGGTCTGCAACCAGACCGAACTGAGATCAATTACGAAGTGTTCGGAAGGGATGTTGTCGATCTTCTCGAAAAAATCAAAGTGGGAAAGTTCATCTTCGTTGCAGCCAGCATGGCTGGTGGGGAATCGCTTTTGGCATACACGTCCAGTGATTATGTCCGTCAACATTGCCAAGTACGTGCTGCATATTGTCGTTACTCCTCCCTGTTGATTTTCCCCGCCCCTTGAGAAAAGATTCAATTGATTTTGACGGCTATTTAAATCAATAGGGATTTGTATTCACAAATACATCTCTTCCATATCCTGTCGCTACGCCCGAGTTCCCTCAAGCAACACCTTTGGAAATGTGGAACCAGGTCATAGGTGCAATCCGTCAGGATCGTGTTGGCTTTTTTGCCGACTCATTCAAAGGGCCATTGGGTATTGGTAATAACCAAGTCCCTGCCAAGACGCTTGAGCGGTTTGAGCGGATGGCTGAGGCCGCGGAAGCTATTGCGGTTGAGCGCGCTGTGCAAATCTTCACTCACTACGACTTCAGTGAAAAATTAGCAGCTCTGGGGCAAGAATCCGACGTCCCTTTTTTACTCCTACACGGTGACTCGGATGCTGGGACCCCCGTGGAAACGACCATAGATCGCATCAAACAGATGATCCCCAGAGCAAAAATAAACTTGTACGAGAACGCAAGTCATAGTACGAAAGCCTCCTCCCCACACCCTCTTTCATCGATGAAAAAATAACTAATAAATGCCGTTCTCAGTACTTATCATCACTCATTCCCAAAGGATTCTCAATGATATTGTCGAGTTTGTGGGTTCAATTTCAGCCACCGCATCACAAAGCTAAGAGAAGAAGAATGCTTGTGTCCCAAAAACCAAATCTCAGTAGATTGCAAGAGCAAAGTGTATAGAATTCAATAAAAAATTACATTATCTGCTGTTCAATTTGAATCATCACTTAGACAAATATATATGCTTTAGAGTCAGGCAACTGACTGGACGGAACCTGGGCTAGTCAGAGCTTTGAACTGAAATCTGGACAGCCAGAAGGAGTTGTGGTGAGCGAAGTTGTCAAAGGAGTCATCTTCAGCCTATCAGCGTCCTCAATTGTTCTTGTTACTTTTGACAATAATCAACATGTCTGATGGATATTTCTTTAGCCTGACCAAGACGGACCTTTAATAATTCTTCAAAGCAGGCATTGGGGCATTTTTACTTAGGCCGGGTCCTGAATAGTACAAAGATCGCTATTTGTGAATTTAACCAAAAGCTTTTCCCTCGCATTCTGAGCGCTTCATAGACCTCACTGGTTATGACCTCACATCCTTAAGCGAACAATCTTCATCAATTTCTATCCACTCATGAGCTCTTGTAACACACCCTCGTGAATTACACAAAGTTCAAGCGCCAACTGAAGTGAAGCTAGGTAGCTCAGCCAAATGAATGAGTATGTTGTTTTCAAGCTTAGTTTACAACGACCCAGGACTTACGAGAGAGTTATTGAGGATGAGCATGGTTTGGTTTGTATATGGCACGATTCTTCTTATTATATTGTACCAACCATGGGAGTTTCTACACTCGTGGTAAACATCAGGATACACTCTATTTGTCACATTTGCAAATTCCGTATCTCTGAAGGCGTCGAACCCCAGCAACTTGGTAAGTGAAGTTTTGATAGGCGAGGAAGCTTCTACAAAGTGTTCTAAAACTTATGTCCGCTCCAATGGCCATTAATAATTTCCTTGAAAGACCAAGAAGGCCTATCTAGATCAGAGAAAGCATTGATCTTATTTCCTACAAATTCCTACTGCGATATTTGAATGGAATGAATCCGGGTGCTTGAAGGATATGGAATTTTTTTCAAAAGTAAAAAATATGAAGTCGATAACCCACAAGCGACACTCAGAGCTTGGGTTGGCCGTACGCGCGATTCAAGCTCAGAAAGTCCACCTCGTTCAATCCATAACTCGCTAGCATCTCCTTAGCTCTCGCCTTTTGCATATCTATCCTTTGTCTTAGCGCATTGCCCCTCTGGTTCTCGTTCTTTCCCAGTTGCAAAACATGCACCTCGTCAGGGCCATCGACGATGCGCATTGTACGTCCGTTTGCCCACATGGCCGCGAGTGGTGTATCCTGACATACTCCGGCAGCTCCGTACGCCTGCATTACACGATCTAGTACCTCAAGCATCATTGAAGGTACTTGTACTTAGCAATTTCTTTCATTGCAGCTTTGGCACCCATTTCATCGATTGTTATCGCGGCATTCAGTACAGAAAGGCGGGCTGTATCGATTTCGATGCGAGAGCGGGCTACTCGCTCAAGTTGAATCCCGTGAGAAGAGAGAGTCTGCCCAAAGGGCTTCTTTGCTGGGTTGTTCAATCGCGCAAGCATATACTCGAGCGCTTTTTCGGCCTGAGTATAGTTAGTGCTAATCGTAGAAACGGGAAATGAAGTGGAAGATAGATTAGACTAACAGCACCGATGGAACGCATTGCATGACGAATACGTCCAGGTCCGAGACGACCCTGGACAACCTCAAAACCGCCGCCTGGACGTAAGATCATATTTTCTGCAGGGACACGAACATTGTTGAAAGTGATATGTCCGTGTCCGTGGGGAGCATGATCAAATCCGATAACAGCGAGCACATGATTAACAGGTTACGCCAGGGGTGTCTACCGGGACCAAGATCACAGACTGCTGCTTGTACTTGTCTGGGTTGAGGGATCTGATTTACCCATCACAATATAGATCTTGCAGTTCTCGTCACCAGCACCACTGCTCCACCTAGAATCGGGTCGTGAGTAGTTTCCTAATTAAGGTTGTATACAAATGAAGATATTAACTTTAGCTGGGAGTGTTTAAACTGGGGACAAATGAGCAAGAATCTGCAAACGGGATTTTGCCATGAGGAAGGAGAAGATCCAATATTTTACCATTTCTACTCCAATTAGCTGAATGTATTGATTCGAAAAGGTGGGACTCACTTTTCCATTGAGAATATAGTCATTGCCCTCCTTTCGCATCGTAAGTTCAATGTCTGTCGCATCACTCGAAGCGACCTGGGGTTCTATCATAAAAAGGCGGAGTGGATGACCTCATTTAAAGAGAGGTACGAGTCATTTCTGTTTTTGAGCTTCCGTGCCATACTTGGCGAGCACTTCCATATTCCCAGTATCAGGCGCATTGCAATTGCAAGCCTACCAGAGTCAACAAAAGTGTACAAGACCCCCGAAATATGATAAAATTTCACTTCAAAAGACAATAAGGCCTGGGTTCGACGAGCAACTTTCCACATACCTCAGGAGCAATATCGCTCTTGCCCAGAAGCTCCGCCATCAAACCGTACTCCAAGTTACTGAACCCGGCACCTTCCTTGAAGTGTGCTTTTGGCAGAAACAAGTTCCATAGTCCGAGAGATTTTGCCTTCCGTTTCAAGTCCTCGAGAACGGTAGGATGAGTGCTAAATTGATATTTGGTATCATAGCCATTTGCGTTTAGTTGCTGTGCAAATACTGTATCCGCGGGAATGCAGTCTTCTTCCACGAAGTTCTCAACCTGTATGACACTTAGTCTGCCCAAAGGTGAAGGGAAAGCATTGGACCCACAAGATCCAGTGTCTTCTTGGCTCTTTCGCTGACGAAAGGTCGTGCAATTACAGGGATCCGCTGTGAGGCAGAGACGTAGCCCTTTGCGTCATTGATTAAGTACGGCAAAAGACATATTGAATTCGTACGGAGAAAATTATGGTAGATTCAGGATACAAGATGGATCGCGATGAAGTGCTGATGATTGACCAAAAGGGTGAGCAGCCATACCCCCACGACAACTTAGGTAGATTTAAATTGCCGGATAGTACGGAATTGCAGGAGGCAATCAGTTCTGGTCTCATTTACTATTAGTCATCGTTGTTTCTTCCATATGTTAACACCGTCATGAGTAGGGTTCAGAAGCCTCGGGGACGACCTGTCATGCTCATAATGACGAATTCAACCACGCTTATTAGCTGTTGCATTTAAGGTTAGCTAGCCTAAATCGGTGATGTCAACCGTCGAGAATGTTTACTCATCATGTCGGTTAGGCCATTGCCATTACCTCAAGTGGCCTGTTGCCCAAAGCAAACGCCAGCCTTTTGCCATACATATAAGCGCTATTCCCGGGTTCAGGGTTTAGCGACATATAAGTCCTACACGACTATGGTCCCTCCGACACAGAAGGCTCTCATTGTTACAGCGGTGGGGAAGCCTCTCACCCTAACTACCGACTGGCCGGTTCCTCAGCCGGGAGCAAAGCAAGTGCAAATTCGGGTTATGGTTTCTGGTCCGAACCCTCACGATCAGAAAGCTCGCGATACCGGTTTATTCATTGCTGAGAACCTGCCTGCCGTCCCCGGGAACGACGTGGTAGGACAAATAGTGGCTGTTGGCTCCGACGTGACAGGCTTTTCTGTCGGGGAAAAGGTCTTTGGACAGGCCGGTTTCTTGCCGGGGTACATTCAAAATGGGTTCCAAGAGTATGCTGTCCTCGACAGATTTTATTGCGAAGGTCCCGGATGGCTTCACTGTGGATGACGTTGCATCACTGCCGACGAACGTCCTAGCGACTGTCATTGCGTTCTTCAGTCCGTCGTTCTTCGGACTTCCCGCCCCTTAGACATCAACGGCTGCAGTTGCAGCCCCAGAGGGGGGGGGTGCAATCTTAGTGCTAGGCGGTGGCAGCAACTGTGGTAAATTTGGCGTTCAGCTCGCTGTCCTGGCAGGATTTGGGCGTATCGTGGTTGTCGGCGGAGACGAGACAGAACTCAAATCATATGGTGCGACGCACGTTATCGACCGGCACGGAACCCCGAGCGAAACCGTTTCTCGCATACGCGAGATCGTAGGTGATGACCTACTCTACGCCTACGACACTGTCAACCCTCCCGCCACTCAGATAGTCGGCATTAACGCACTCTCGTCTACCCGAAAGGGCAAAGTGGCTCGGTTATTGCCTATTGGCCCTATGGACGAGTCTCAAGTCGAAAAGAAGAGCGCGGGCTACGAGATCTGGCATATTCTCAGTGACCCGCATCAACACGCCAAATTGTGCAAATCATTCTGGGAACACGTACCGCGCTTGTTGCGGGAGGGGCAGATCAAGCCTGCCGCTTACAAGAGAGTCGATGGCTGGGATGCGGACCTATGCTGCTCACATACCACACCATATCAGCTTTGACCAGGCAGCGACATTCCCCATCAATGCCTTTGCGAGTTTTATCGCCCTATTCAGTTCGTCGGGATTCGATCTAGCACCAAAGTTTTTGGGTCACGGTGTGGACTACGCGAATGAAGCGATTTTCATCATTGGAGGCGGCTCTAACAGTGGGAAATTTGCCCTTCAGTTCTCTCGTCTTGCAGGCTTTGGGAAGATTATTACAACAGCCAAGGTCCGCAGCGATGGGGGGCAATCCCTCCGTGACTTTGGTGCTACTCATATCATAGATCGGGAGGCAGCGGATGTGGAAGATCAGATCCGTGCGCTGGTTGGCGATGACTTGTTGTACGCCTTTGACGCGGTTAACGGTGCTTTCTTGGGTGGTGTTAGCCACCAGCTGGCACTCTCGCTTCTGTCGACCACGAAGAAAGGGTCTTTGGCAACATTGGTTGATGGAGACCCTGATCCTGTAATTGCAGCTACAAAGACCGCTGGTTTCAAGAAAAAATCATATTCTCGGAGTCAGTGATCTGCACCAAGAGCTGGCTGCCAAGTTCTGGATGGAGTTGCCAGGTTGGATCGAGAAGGGCGAGCTGAAGCCGTTGGACTTTGAAGTCATGGACGGACTTGACGCGAAGAAAGTCAACAACCTGCTGGATGACTATCGTGACGGCAGAGCGGTAACTAAGACTCATGTGCATCCCGATCCTAGGGACTCCATTTTCAAACGGTAGATATTTTCGCAGCATTGATATTAGTTAGTACAGTTGTCATGAAACGTCGGGTTTGGTAGAATATTATATAAAAGGGTCATGAGTTTCTTAGGCTAATGTCAACCTGTAACATGTGCTAAACGTCATTTCAATTTTCACCAGTTTCCATGCGGAAACCATTGTTAACAAACAATGTTTTAGTGACATATATAAATGGTCCGAAATAGCTGTCAACACAGACTAGCCGGAGAACGGTACAGCTTTAGGTATGCAGCAGCGTCGAACTGTGCACATCCTGGGGGCACAGGCTTAATTCCGTGAATATGAATACATCACATCGAAGGATCCAAAAAGTTTCTACACACTGCAAGGCGGAATGTATGCTCGACGTCTTTTCGGCGAAACGCAGGGCAGCGACCAAGGCAAATGCCAGACTGAAATTGTACTCCTAGTTTTTGCACAGCTCTTTACATCACCTTCAATTCAACAAGGCTCACGCATAACTATGCTTCCACTTAAGCCCTTATATTCGGCGTCAATGCTGCATCATATCTTGGTAATCCTCAACAATATCCACATCTAGCCGAACTAAGCTGAATTCACTTCGTTTGTGCTTCTTTAATACCACCACTATGGCCATACTGTCCTGTTTTATTGCTATGCCATAACCAGTTCCCAACAATGAACCGGTTGCTCCCCATAATTGTGGAGGTAGCAGCTAGAAAGAACGCGGCCCAGCTTCCTACGGTAGTTGGTTATGGGCTTTATTACCAATCATTTTCGACTGCACCAAACGGCCATCGTGCCCTTATCTCTTCTAACTTCTTGCCACCTTCTAAATCCTTCTCATCCCTAGAGTCTTATTAAAACGTAAGATAAAAAAATACTGATGAAGGGAAGGGCTTAATATGTGGAGCACCAGAGTTATATCAGTGAATAATGGAAGGCGATTGAAGTCAGACAATTCGACGCCATTCCACTTACGCGAAGGGCGCTTCATTTTTATAAACACTATACGGTATAAAGCCTGATAGCGCAGCCCAAAATATCGCCTTCGAATCCTCACTCAATTGTTCAAAAACATCTCAAGGTGCTGTGCGTAGAGTTCTGGCTCCTGGAAGAGATGCCCATGTCCCGAGTCAGGGAAAATGTGCAGCTGAGCCCTAGTGATCCTCTGCTGCAAAAGGAAGCTGTTCGCCGTATGTGTCATAATGTCTGCGTGGCCGTTTGTGACGAGGACTGGGGCCCTGATATCGGCTAGCCGATCGAAATTACCAGTATCAACAGTGAACTTGAAAATTGCCGCCACCTGTGACTGAAGCCCGGCTCCAACAAGGAATTCTTTTCTCTCTTCATCGTTGAGTTGTCGCTCATGGATTCTCTTATACCATTCATGGCCAAGGCTCAAGCTGGTTTCTGAAAAATAGAAGAATAATCTCATCCAATCATCCTCGGTTGGTGCCTGATCACCGTTTGCACCGGCGCTTGCGAGAACATCTCGTGGGGGAAGAGCCACACCTTCTCCGATGGCGGATTGGGTGCCGGCCAGAACCAATTTGTTGACAAGTTGGGGATACTCGAAGCCCAGATATTGAACAACACCACCACCCATAGAGAATCCAATAAAATCAGCCTTACGCACACTGATTACGTCGAGAAACTTCACAACTACCGAAGCCATCCCCTCGATTGAGTCTGGTATGACACCCTCACTATGGCCGATACCAAGGCTATCAAAGAGTATCACCTCACGGTTCTTGGCAATGCTATTGAACAAAAGAGGATCAAGCACATCCATAGTTCCACCTAGGTGATTGACGTAAACTAACGGCAGGGGACTGGGTTTGCCGAACCGACGATAAGCGATCATGGTGCCGTTGACAGGGACAAAGCTGGTCGGGACAGTTTGAAGGGACGTCATGATTGTGGTTACTTTGCAAAAGACGAGAAGTGACAGAAGTGCCAATGAAATAAAGTGGTCCAGATTCGGTATAGAATTAAATCTGAGGTATAATGAGCTAGTTTTTCCGGGGAGGTTAGGGTAATTTATAGGACGTTCTCACCACCCGGAGGGGTAAATATGTAATACTGTCCGATGGTAACCTTTTTGCTGCGATAATAATAATTTCCGATGAAAATGACATTATGATCCGCATAAATTACCATACAGAGCGAAAGAGAGAGTAGGTGCTCCCTGAATAACCCTGTCCTTGGTGGTAAATACCGCCTTACTGTTCGAATTTATGGTACAGACCGAGGGCGCATATCGATTTCGGAGTGGTTAGTAATCGTGTTTCTAGAGTCCGAAAGGCAGTTGTCTAATCGTTATTTATGGACCGTTCGACGACTAACACCCAGCGCTCGGAAGAGGCTACCTCGGCTGTCTCTTTGTTTGATTACAGCATAAAGAACCATTTACCAAAAGCTAGTGAATAATAGTTCTTCTAATCAGCATTCAATGGTATGTGCTCCCTCCCAAGGACGTTCGGAATACGGTCTTTGAAGCCCACAGATCCTGTTTCTCCAGAAACAGGAGGACATTGCATTATAGCGGTAGCTAAAACTAAGATGGAATAATTTTCTGTGACATCTTCTGTCGAGAACCCGGATTTGCGAGAGTATCAGATAGACATATGAACTGAACGTATGTTGCAGGCCGGGGACGTTATGTATACATGTCCATAGAAGAGTGTTGCACTTCATTGCTCTCGTTTCTTCCCCGAGCGTCGTGCGCTTCGCATAGCCCTAGTAGCCGTATTCATTTGCCACCATAGGGCCTTGATGACTTGACACACCCCGTCCCCTCTACACCGCTTACTACTTCCTACCTATACACACTCCTACAAGACCGAATCGCCATAAAATCAAGCAGATTTTGACGAACTCCGAACTCCTACATCCCCATTTTCTATACCTACTGACATTTCTACGTTATGTACAGAGGTCAGAGAGGGCTTAGTTACTAAGCGTCACGCAGTAGAAATGGATTACAAGTTATTGTTACGCAGAAATAAAGTGGTGTCTAGGCACTGGTGCAGATAAATGTGAAATGTGACTGTATGACTCCAGTTTCTTGAGGTTTGGTTATGCCGAAGCAGTTCCCAATCATTGCAATGTTGTCCGTCATGAAACTGACCATGTGGAGACCTCCAAATGAGAGATCGAGGGTCGGCGCTTTTGGTAGCATGACCTGGAATGGGCTTAAGGTTCTATGGTCCCTTGTCACTCAGTTCCATTGCCTGATATCATGGCCGAGAAAGCTACATGTTTAATAATCCGAATTGTGGTCAGTCCTCGGCTGATTAATGAACTTACGATTAACTGTACCCATTCGTACTAACCATTCTACACGGGACCAATCCGCCAAAATGCCAATTCTTCTGCACCCTCATTCATATTTTCGGTGGCTGGGTAATCAAGCCCCTCTCCCCAGTAGAAAGGTCCTTGTCACCAACGGAATTCAATCTAACACGACCAAACGTGGTGCGTTTATTTTTTGAGCCCTGTGCCAACAGAAAAAGCGAAGCTTTTATTGGGATGGTATTAGGGGTCCAACGGACGAGAAAGATGTGAGATACCTCGGATCTGAATCTTGTGATTACTCAACATGAGATTGTAAATTTACTCAGACCTACGTGTGTGTCACCACGGGTTGGTCAAGGCCTGCTTAGAAACCAAGCATCATTCTGTAGTGCTGACCTGGCTTGCCGGGGAAGTTGCCGGGGCAGTTGCGGGCCGAACAAAATGTTTTTGGGCTTAGAAACCATTTTGAAGAGAAGTATATAGTCGATGAAGTACATTTGATCAGAGCCAGTTGATTCTTTTCGACAGCAAATTCCCCATTCTTTCCCTCTCGCCTTTCCCTCTCGCGCATGCTATTCACCATGGCTTGGCCCAATGTCCCCATCAAAGCCGCTGAGGGCATCTCCTTCTTCACTCCGGCTCAAAGTCCACCAGCAGGAACTGCCCGCAACCCCCAGACAAGCGGCAAGCCCATTCCTAAGCTCTTCCATCCCCTGACCATCCGAGGCCAGACATTCCAAAATCGCCTAGGCGTACGTGCTCTCCGCTGTTTCATGTAGCTCTTCTCGAAACTTGTACTCACCATGCAATCTCCAGGTGGCCCCTATGTGCCAATATAGCGCCGATGATGGCCATATGACTGCCTGGCACATGGCTCATTATGGTGGCATCGCCCAGCGTGGTCCGGGAATGATCATCATCGAAGCCACTGGGGTCGTTCCGGAGGGTCGTATTACACCCGCTTGTGTGGGTCTGTGGAAGGACTCCCAGATTGCACCCCTGAAGCAGGTTGTTGAGTTTGCTCACGGCCAGGGCCAGAAGATCGGTATTCAGCTGGCCCATGCCGGTCGTAAAGCCTCGACTGTTCCCCCGTGGCTGGGCGGTGTTCCCGCGACCAATGCGGTGGGTGGCTGGACGGAGAATGTCAAGGCCCCGAGCGCTATTCCCTTCGCTGAGGGTGATATTGTTCCTAAGGAGATGACCAAGGAGGATATTCAAGAAGTCAAGGACGCCTGGGCGGCTGCTACTAAGCGAGCCTTGGCTGCTGGCGTCGACTTCATTGAGATCCACAATGCCCATGGGTACCTGCTCTCTTCCTTCCTCAGCCCTGCATCCAACAAGCGCACCGACGAGTATGGGGGTAGCTTTGAGAACCGGATCCGTCTGCCTCTGGAGATCGCTCAGCTAACCCGTGACACCGTTGGACCGAATATCCCCGTCTTCCTGCGTGTCTCTGCCACCGACTGGCTGGAAAACAGCCTGCCGGAGGAAAAGGGCTGGAAGCTGGAGGATACCGTGGCGTTTGCTCGGGCTCTGGCTGTGCAGGGTGCAATTGATCTGATTGACATCAGCACCGGTGGTGTCCACGTCGCTCAGAAAGTGACATCCGGTGTTGGCTTCCAGGTGCCGTTCGCGGCAGCTGTAAAGAAGGCTGTTGGAGAGAAGATGCTTGTCTCTGCAGTTGGTACAATCAACAGCGGGGTTCTTGCTGAGAAGGTCCTCAATGAGGATAGTGTTGATGTCATCTTGGTCGGGCGCGCTTTCCAGCGTGACAGTGGTTTGGCTTGGGCTTTCGCAAAGGACTTGGACACTGAGATTGCCATGGCTGCGCAGATCCGCTGGGGCTTCACTAGCTTCCGCAATGCGTCAGAGTATATTCAGCCGAACTCGTTGAAGGCATCGATCTTTGACTAAATAATGATCCCTGTATGGCATATAGGATTACAATGCGGAAGGAAGGACGGTTTTGTTTACCCTTGCTGAGGAAATCCAGACCAGCCAAAAAGCCTACACGTGCATTTGGCACGAATCTTCCTAGAAATATCAACAGTCTGGCCCATCGCTGAGTTGGTTTACTTAACTAGACCAAAAATATGAATGCGTATCTGGTCTCGTGAGTTGTGGTATTTAATCTGTTGAGATTCATGGCCTCTCCGGGCATCTCCAGGCATGAAATGCCTGCTTCGCCGAGCATGAAGCTCATGATCAGCATTAAACCTACCATGTAGAGTATAGTTCAGGAGAAATGCTTCTCATTAAATAGGATCTCTCTCTCATGGAGGAGAGATCAGACCTAAACCACCTCGTTAGCTCTTGACCTATATGCGTACTAGCATCATTCATCGTATCTCCAGTTTCAACATAATCCAACGCGCTTCGCTAGATGAAGGCCACCAGAACTATATATATATTGTGCGTAGTTGTTGGGCGCAACACTTCCCGATAATGAACTTAAGAGCCTCTCAAGGCCTGTCTGGGCCTAATGGACGTTTATGCTGTTTGCAAATTTCGCCTTCAGGCTGACGTCACCGATTTTCAAAGATATTTATCGAACAGCTGCTTCAGCATTCCAGAAGATGATAGGAGCCGAAACCTGTGGGATGACGGACAATACATCCTTCCACAATTCTGACCAGATCGCACGAATATCATCAGTCGACGGAATAAGATTGGTTTATCTGCCAACCTACTCTCTAGATCTAAAGCATACTGAAGAGCAACAATGTACAGCAAACCCAAGCGAAAACTTTGCTTGTTCTCAATTAGTTACTTCTTTTGCTTTGAAAATGCTGCTCCTCCCCAGAGTGACCCGAGGTTCAGCCGTGCAGGATATATCTCCATCATGACGGGTCACTAGCGAATTGGCTAGGTAGCTACTCTGTAGTCGAGCAGTTAAACAAAGCTTAAAAATTGCAGTAAACGTGTCGGGATATATCCTTCTGTCAGCCAAGGGATAACATCCCTTGCTTGGTGTACGCATTCTTGCGCGGAGCTGCGGCTCCGCTGTTGTGACTGCCCAGTATCGGCGCATGGGATTAAGGGATATCTTGGAACCTGACCTGACTTGAAGGAGGAACATCTATCTTACATGAATCAATTGACTTTTGCTTTGGAAGCATATACACTGTTCACTTAACTGTGTACACAGTACCTAGCTGGTGATACCAACAAAAAGATTATTATTGAATTCTATCTTTTCCTAAAGTGGATTTCGAATGCCGCTCACTTCGTTGTGGGGCACCTGATACCGACAAATCATCTATGGAACAAGCTGGAATAGATTATTCATCACGTTTCTACCAGACATTTGATTCGCCGAGGCTCAAATGCAGCATCTTTCACCAATGGATCACCTCATCAATACAGCAGGAGGGTGTCATCCTGGTCCTCAACTATATCGATTTTGATCATATTACAAGCCTGAGCCGCCACCACTAAAATGCGCCTATCCTCCATTGACTTGCCACCTACCAGGCCGTTACATCAAAGCCAAAATACACCGGTGTATATCGCCCGCATGGGGATTTTTCTGAGATATGCTCAAAGGCCATCGCCCCTTTACTGTCATTTCTATAGTAAAAAAACTACTTTGATCTACTTCATAAAAACTAACCTAATTTTTGATTACTATAACTCAAGGGACTTGAAAGTCAGCAAGAAAGAGGTAAAAAGAAAGCAGAGGTCAAAGTACGGCAAAATAATAACTAAGACAGTACACTGACTTCGAGGGATTCGTGTGAAGAATATTCAATACTTTATCCGAAGCACCATGTACAAATCTATGTTCCCTACGCACGGAATGAATTTCGTACATTTAGTATGCCTTGAATTGAGACTAGGAAGATCGTGATAGTATATGCATCCCCTTGCCGAGGAGATGGTCGCTTTTCAGGAGTGACCTGATGATGAACCGCCAAGATTCTACGGTCCATTGCCTTCTTAGGATGCGTTTGCAAAGGGAATTGGCGGTGGTGACGGAAGTGCGGCGTTTGTCGGTTCTTGGTTTGCGCTTAAGGTATGACCTGGTGGCTTCGGCAGTGATTTCAGTGTAATTGGCCCCTTTCGAGCGGGATACGGAGCCGGTAACTTCGGTGGTAGAGGGTGTATCTGGCGAGCTGGTGCCGAAATTGTCGCTCGCTGTATGCCAAGCGACGTAGTCTGAGTGACCATGGCGTGAGGCAGACGGCTTGGTCGTGATGTGTGTGCACTGCAGAAGTGCGAGGGGCGATGGAGGAAAAGATTCCCTTGCATGGGCAGATCACCCTGAGTTGAGGCGGCTCTAGTGACACTATTTCACCTGGAAAGTGATGGTTTACAATGAATGAATGCATACAGAGAACCGAGATAGTACCACGCTGCATATCGCCTCAAGGGGCCAACGTATGAATCAACAACAACAACTGTATTTTGGAATGACTTAATGGAAGTTACACTATGCAAAGACGCGTCCCTTACTCCCTCCCCTTCTCTCACTCTGGGTGATCGCCCTGGACGCTAAGCAATAGAAAAGCCAGCAGACGCTTGTTTGAGCCCCAAGATTCAGACGAGTAGGAAGCACGACGTATCAAGTGCTTTTTCTTTGTTTCATTCTCGTTTGGCGAGAAGTGCTCCAGCCCAGGCAGATCCAGGATTGAGTCGTTCCGGATACAGCTCCAGCATTTGCGAGTAAATGTCTTCAGCTTTGGTATATTTTGCTGCAGTTCGGTTGAAGTTTTCCAAGTACAACTTGGTCTCCTGTATGGTCTCGGGATCAAACGGCTTGCTGGGGTCGCTGTGACCTCCGATCACTGCTTTAGGCTTCAAAGCTGCCAGCTTATTCAACGCTCTTATCCACTCAATACGAGCCTCTTCTGTTCCCGACTCACCCAGATACGGATGGGTGTTGGCGTATACACAGTCCCCTGCCACCACTAGTCCAATTGATGGAACCCACAATGCATTGCTTTCATCCGTATCCGTGTGTCCCAGTTTCACAATCTGCAATTTCTCCCCTTCTAGCTCAAACTCATCACCACTTAGAGGCTCGGCTCCAACAAATTTCTTCGGGAGTAGCCCAGGAAACAGCTTGTCCCACAAGCTTGCCATCCTTTCCGGGGATGTTTCGTATGTCATTCGAGAAACCACTTCCGGTGTAGCGATCACTTTGGCTTCGGGGAACCGTTTGAGGATAGTGGAGCTTCCAAAGAAGTGGTCACCGTGTGAATGGGTGACAAAGATGGCGACCAAGTCTTTCCCGCTAGCCACGACCCAGTCCGCCAACTCCTGGGACGCTTCGAGAGTCAACTGAGAATCAACTAGAACCGCCTTCTTCTCTCCATAAATGAGAGTAGAGCTTGTGGGAACCCATTTGAGATGATCATGTCCCGCGGGACCAGTTCGGGTTGCGCTGTCGCGTCTGCTGAAAAAGACCTGGAAATTGAGCGGCATTCTGACTGGAATGTTGGACTCGGAAGTTAATCGAAAGAATGTCTACGTTCAGCCGTGCGAGTCGGACTTAAAATAGAAGAAAGCATGTGACGAAAATGTTACTGATGACATTTTGGTGACATTTTGATGAGGTGATTCATTGCAAAAGTCCGCTGCAATGTATGTCCAATTGAGTCTCAGACGAGAGACTTATACCTCGGGCCAAATGCGATAAAATAAACACATCCGATCTCGCTTGCTCCATGGCGACACCACATGATTTGCCAGTGCTGCTCCACATCGGAAAATGCGGCAACCAGAGTTTCGCCGTAGTAATAATGAGAGGGTATCCTTGGATGCCGAGGAAAACCGAGCCCACTGTTGCATGCTCAATAATCATGCATCATGAAGCCTCGGAATACCAGTATCAATGATGAATTAAATGACGTGTTAGAATACGAGTTTCCAATTGCAACAAACAATGTATCCAAGCTAGTGCTTGAATGATGCCGATTTGCCGAAAAAAGATTGACCTGTAAGTTTCGGGAAGCTCTTCATTGGGGAGGGGGGAATATAAGAGGACACTTCACTGCCTCTGGTGAGTCTTGTGAAAGACAAGTAGCTTCTTATCTCTGCTTGATTCAAAGTCGTCAGTCATGCCTCCCCCTCGTGTCATATCTTTCCTCACTGGTGCCGACTGGGCTGCGAAGGGGCCACAAACTCCAGCCCAACGGTTCTACGGCGCATATGCATCTGCCATCAAAGAATTCGACCTAACCGCTCATAGAAAACACCAGTTTTATGCCGAACATGCGATTTTTCATAACCAAAACGGCGTCGACTACCATGGTACGGAGATCTGGCCATGGATCATTAAGTTATTCGGTGAGTTTGCTCGTCTGGAACACGATTTTCATGCAGTCTGGGAACTCGAAAAAGATGACGGCACCATTCATCTCATTGCCCGGGTCACTCGAAACATCTGGCTCCCGGTTCCGATATCAATGGCTCGCCAACTATTAGCCTTCCCTTGTCCATGACTTGCGAAATAGGACCCAGCACTGCCCCCGAAGAGACTCCTGAAGGTCTACAGTACCAGCAGGTTTGGCTGTATTGGGACACCTACCCGCTTCAGCCTCCTTTCCCCAAGAACGTCATTGTATTCAGCCCAGTCAATACCGAGAGAGAATCATGAGGTAGCAAATAACCTGTTGGTGGGTGATCACCAGACAGAAGGCATTGTAATGCCTCTAGAAGCAAGCTCTTTGATGGCAAGGGACTTGGCCCAATTCTCATGCTCATGCATTTATCTGTACATACTTCTAGAGTATTTTGTCCATATTGAAAGTTATGGCATTTTTCGAGCATATTGAGTATTTAGTTTCTATGTTACTCGACACGGAATATCTCCTATGTAACCCGTCTAAATCAGCTCAGCAGAAGGCGGTTGAGATCACTTGAACCAACTCAAAACCCTTACGTCCTAGACTAGTGGAATACCTCATCATCAACGTCAACACCTCTGTTGAATGGCTCCCTTTTAGACTCGAATCAGAATCACAGCAACCAATCCCCTTACTATCCTCGGCCTTTCCAATTGACACCGACGACCACTTCCCCTACCGAAAGCCAAAATCTAACTATGCCTCAGTCCACCAATGTCCCGCTTAGACTTTACTGCAGTCGACTCTGAAAACCTACATCCGCCACCCTACCTAAACCTAGACTTCTCATTGATCTTCATCACCAGTCCACAGTAGACCATCATAATTCAAGCTGTATAAAAAGACGAAAACCTGGCCTAGAGCCTCATCTGCAGCACATTTTCTATCCTAACGAGAGGTCAGGGTTCATCTGCTTGTACCGCATCAAGGTGGGAAGTAGCCAGCAAATAGAGCAAGCCGCCAAACATGCAGAGAAGATAAATACATTAACTAATACTGTGTAACACGTGCATTTATCAAACATTCTCGGGTTGGCCGACGTGCCTCTTCAAGAACTCAAGTTGTGTTGTAATGTTCCTTTCGAACCACTCTCCCGTATAGATATCAAAATGGCCCGCTCCATCAAGGTAAAGCATCTGCTTGGGTTCCCTTGCTTTGCCATAAGCGGCCAATTGTGATGATGTAGTGACAAGTACGTCATTTCCCGGAATAACCATCAGGAGTGGAGTCGGCGAGATACGGTGGATCATAGCCTGCCCTTCAAAAAGAAGCATATTCACCTGCGTCTGAGTAGTAAGGGAATTCTCCCATACCGCTCCGCAGTCGTATGACTCCCGCACATGTCTATAGGCGTGAACGCCGGGGAACATAACGTTTGGTGCCCCTATTTGAGCAGCCTCCATTCCATCTGCAATGAGAGGAATTCTCTCCGGCTGGGTACCAGCGGGATAAATGCGATTATTCAAAAGGCTTGGGATCCGGTCCTTGAACGATAAAGATCGGGTCTCCCCAGAAACAGCGGGACACTGCACGATGGCTGCCTTGATGCGCTTGTCCACAGCAGCGGCGTGCAAGACATTTCCACCTGAAAAGCTCGTCCCCCAATACACAATGCGTGAAGCATCCACGTTAGAAAACGTAGAGGCAAAATTGAACGCGTCATAGTAGTCGGCTTGCTGAAGTGGCGGGTTGGATTCTTGGCGCGGCAGTCCATCACTGTCACCCCAGTTCCGATTGTCATAGAGTAGTACATTGTAGCCAGCATCATGGAAGCGATCAGCAAAAGCTGGAAGCCACAAATGGCGAACACCACCCAACTAGTGATATTTAAATGTTTTCAGCAATTGTTCTTCCCCAGTAATGGATAGAGCGGCGGAAACACCTACCCCGTGTGTCATGATCACGCATGGAGACTTGTTGTCTTGAGGATAAAACCAGCCCCGAAGCGTGGTCCCATCGCGAGCGTTGAACTGAATCTCTAAGCGAGCAAGGGCCATTTTTGCGTCCCGTTATCCTCAGGGACAGGAAAGAAACCTTGTTATGGCTTATTCTTTTCTGTAGTTTGAAATTTGGGGATCCGCGCCCTTAACTGAAAATAACCAAGAGGAAGGGACGGAATATAGAAAGGAAAACCCTGATTTCCGGTATATTTACTACCACGTTCTATTAAAGTATGAGGCCGGAAACTTGCGGCCCGAAGTTTCCTACGCATAATTTGAGTTGATCGATTATGTTTTGCTTTCCCCGAAAGTGGATCTTCGATTCGATGTTGATTACTCATCGATATCCACCTCATTTTGACATGTACCGAGGCTTTGAGATGACAGTATATGCTCGGATCTATGACGATTACATATCAGTATAGTGCACGAGCCTCGGCCTTAGGGATAATACGTTCAAAATTTTCTACTTGGCTTGGGACCATTGCGCCTCATGGTTTTAAAGGAAAGGATTGCCCACAATCAATAATATTTGACACCATCATACAAGGCTCGCTTAACAAGCTCAAAGATGGAATTAGCTTTGTCGCATTCATGGGTCGAGGTATATCCAATTCATACTTTCATATTTTGAGGCTAGTCTAATTATTGAGCAGATCGAGCAAGCTCTCGGCCAAAGGCCACAATTTTCGGGTGCACTGGCTATGAGGGAACAATACAAAGCTCTCTCAAACCAGATAAATGCTTCTCACAAAAGGTCCCTTAATCTCAAAATTGGTATGTGCCCGACAAGTAAAGTGCGCCGGTTTTACTTCCGTTTCAAAAATACTAACTTCCTTTAGAGGATATCGCAATCACGGAATATCTTGCAGCTAGGGTTTATACCCCTCCTACTAGTGATGAACGCCCATTGCCTGTTGGTATTTACTTTCATGGTGGTGGGTGGTGTTGTGGTGACGTGGAGACCGAAGACGGTATCTGCCAATTATTATCTGAACATGTTCCTTGCATTATCGTCTCACTAGAATATCGACAGGCACCTGAGCATAAAAGCCCAGTGCAGCTTCAGGATGTGCTGGAGGGTTGGACCTGGGTAAGTCCTATCTAGGGTATTCAATCTACATTTAAGTCTTGGGATACTAACCTTAAAAGGCATGGAACAATGCGTCTATGTTGAATGGTGACCAACCTAGATATTATGCGGTTGGACAGAGCGCTGGAGGTCATCTTGCACTTGCTTTGGCGAATAAGCTTGTCGCACTGGGTCGAAAGGCTGACATTCGCGATGTGGCAGCTCTGGCTCCAATCACTACTCATCCTGCCCGGGTCCCTAGCAAATATGAGGACAAGTATCGGTCCTTCACTGATTGTGCAGACGCTCCGCTTAACACAGCATTTGCTATGAATACATTCTTCGGTACGTGGATGTTTCGTCAAGGTCAATTTATTCAGGTACTGTCCAGACGCCGTTGGTGCAAGCCTTCAAGCGCTCTTAATCGAGCTTCCAAAGGATGGCGAATGGATCTTCAAGTATGAGGTTGACGATGAGAATCATGTCACAGCCCTCTTTTGTATTCATAAAACGAGCATTGCCTTGCTAAAGACGAATTCATGGGTCATTTCAATGGACTATACATACAAAACTAACCGGTATGGCCTTCCAATGCTCGATATTGTCGGCTTCACTGCTACGGGCTCAACCTTTTACGTCGGCTTCGCCTTCGTAAGAGACGAGAAGGATGATAACTATGAAGTTATTTTGAATTGTCTAGCTAAGGCATACGAAGCTCTTGGCCTTGAGCCACCCCGGACGATCCTCACTGACAAAGAGCAAGCGCTAATGAATGCTATTAAGGTGGTCTTTCCTTCTACAAAGCATATGATCTGTCTATGGCATATCAACATGAATATCTTGAAGAAAGCGCGTCCGCTACTCGCTGAGCAGCTCGCAAAAGCTCGGCAAGAGACTGAAGCTTTAGCAAATGCTTCCTCGGCTTCCTCAGCTTCCTCGCAGCGTCGGACGAAGGCAGAGAGAGACCGAGAGCTTCGAGAAATAGTCGATAAAGCGTGGAAGATGATGCTAAAGCGGTGGATTCGTGTCGTCTACGCTATAACTACAGAAGAGAGATAGGAGAGATGGAGACAGCTTCAAGAATGCTACACAGAGCCGATTTTGCAGCCTTTACTCGAATACCTACAAAGCGAATGGCTAGATGACTGCCCAGAGTGCTTCCTCCATGAATACACCGCCGAATACCTTCATCTCAATGAAATCTCGACATCCCGGACCGAGGGAGCTCACTGGCTGCTTAAGCAGGACCTTCAAGTCTCAACCAACGATCTACTAGTTGTTCTCCGCACCTTTGAGAATGCCGTGAAGCTTCAATTCAATAAGATCACCGCTAAAATCGAGAATGAGAAGGTAAGAAGGTCTACTAACCTCTGGCGTCTATTCAAATTGGTAGATAGACGGGTTTCATTGAAAGCAATCGAGCTTACAAAGGACGTCTACAACCGCTACCTACCAGAAGCAGAGGATAAGCCGCCGGTCCTTCCAATTTGCCGCTGTAATTCGAGGAATACGGCAGGGTTTCCATGCATCCATCTCATCATGCAGTACGAAGAAGAGGAGAAGAGCTTTGAGCCTAACTTATTTCATCAACACTGGCATTTATACAGTGTATTTGCGCCTCCTATTAACCCGCTACTCCTACTCCAGGATCCTCTCCAAGTGCGCCGGCGAGGGCGCCCCCGAGGCGCTAGGAACTTCATCGGCGGCGGCGAAAGCACCCAAGCAAGCACCCAAGACACCTCCACCCAGCGAGACCCCTCCGGCTTCGAGCTCATGCTATCTCAGGAAGGTGGCCGTGGCCGTGGACGTGGCCGAGGATGTGGCAGAGGACGTGGAGGGACACAACACGCATCGCAGGGGGTGGGAATAGCTTCATGTACGGTCCAGGAAGCTCATACGGCATCGCCAGCGAGCAATCCTGCTTCGCCGAGCATAGGAATAGCTTCATATACGGCCCAGCGCGAGGATTCCTGGCCCGACCGCCTCAGGAAGCGTCAGGGAGCTCCATAAATGGCTGATCCAATACAAATTACTCAATTTCTTCACAATTCTCATGCGATTCTTCAAGAAATTTAACCCAGAATAACTGGATTCCTTCATTTCTGCAGAGTTTTTGAAAACAGCATCTATTTCCTATTTAGGACTAGCGTCGTGCAGTTGGCATGGTGGGTGGTAGAGTACGAAAGTGACTTCATTTAATTAGGGGGCTGCATAGTAAATGTAAGTACCTCAAGTTTACGGTGGTGGCAGAAATATGTCCGGCAGAAAAAAAGTTTGGCCTGAGGATTCAGGCAGGGAGGTGTTGCATTAACGTAATTCACATGCGAGCTGCGCACACAAGCGAACTGCGCACCCCCACCCAAAACGCGTCAATTAATTAGACTCTCTCTATTCAACCACCCACCATGCCACCAATTCGTACTAAATCCTCTCGAAATTTAGTAGAGCAGGAGGGTAGGATCTTATTAGCTATACAGGCTATTCAGAAGCAAGAAATTGGCGCTGTTCGTGCAGCAGCGCGTGTATTTGATGTGCCTGAATCGACACTCCGTACGCGCCTTAAGGGTTCTACGAATCGCGCTGAAACTCGCGCAAACGGTCATAAATTGACTGAAATTGAGGAGGAATCTCTTAAAAAATGGATTCTCTCTATGGACTCTCGCGGAGCACCCCCTCGGCCTTCTATTGTACGAAGAATGGCGAATTTACTACTCGCGGCGCGTGGATCTACCCCGACTACTTCGGTCGGTCAAAATTGGGTTGCAAATTTCGTGAAAAGGCATCCGGAGCTATCGAGTCGCTTTTCGAGGCGATATGATTATCAGCGCGCTAAATGTGAAGACCCAAAAATCATTTACGAATGGTTTAATCTCGTCCAAAAAACGATACTTCAATACGGCATCGACCCCGACGATATCTATAACTTCGACGAGACTGGATTCGCAATGGGCTTAATTGCGACCGCGAAGATCGTAACGAGGGCTGAATACTACGGTCGGCGAGTACTTTTGCAGCCCGGAAATCGCGCGTGGGTGACTACAATTGAGTGTATAAATGCTTCAGGGTGGGCGCTTCCTCCGTGCGTGATTTTTAAGGGCAAAGTCTATATCGAATCTTGGTTCGATGGCCGCCCGGAGGATTGGCGCTTCGAGGTTAGTCCGAATGGATGGACTTCCGATGAAATTGGCCTTCGGTGGCTCGAAAAGCTCTTTATTCCGTCTAATTCTTCGCGTACGAAGGGGAAGTATAGACTTTTAATACTCGACGGCCACGGAAGTCATTTAACCGCGGAGTTCGATCGAATTTGCGAAAAGAACGATATTATCGCAATTTGTATGCCTCCGCACTCGTCTCATCTTTTACAGCCTCTTGATATTAGCTGTTTTGCGGTGTTAAAGCGCGCGTATAGTCGGCTTATCGAGTCAAAAATGCGGGCTAGAATCAACCACATTGATAAGCTAGACTTCCTCGAAGCCTACCCGTCCGCGCGAATTGAGGCATTTAAATCGGAGACTATTAAGAATAGCTTCGCCGCCGCCGGTTTAATGCCTTATAATCCCGATTGAGTGATCTCGAAGCTCGATATTCGCCTTCGAACCCCGACACCCCCCTCGAGCCGAGGAAGCGAGTGGGAGCCAAAAACGCCGTCGAACTACGTCCAATTACAAAAACAAGCTTCCTCAATTAAAGCTTTGCTAAAACAGCGCTCAAAAAGCCCACCGAGCCCGCTTAACTCCGCGATAAATCAGGTTTTAAAGGCCTGCCAAATTACGATGCAATCGGCAGCTTTGCTCGAGAAAGAAGTAAGCGAATGACGCGCTGAAAACGAGACGAAGAAGCGAAAAAGGAGTCGGTCTAAAAGGCAAATAGCTTCCGAAGGAGGCCTCTCAGTTTTAGAGGCCTCTACCTTAGCAATGCAGCCAGAGCAGGCAAATTTAGCACAAGTGTCCCGTGAGGCAAGACCGCCTCCGGCACCTTTACAGCCACGTACGAGGGCCTTACCGAAGTGTGGAGCATGTGGAAATGAGGGTCATAAAAGAAATGCATGTCCTAATAGACCTCGAGTTTAGCTAATTGAATTTAATGGCGTTTTGGTTAAGATAAATGCATTTAACATTAATAGGTTGGGTGGGGGTGCGCAGCTCGCTTGTGTGCGCAGCTCGCATGTGAATTACGTTATCCAAAGGGGTGTTGAATTATCAATCCATATATATAGGGGATTGATACAGACACCACCCTTTGGATGCTAACACCACCCCCTGCCTGAAAAGCCAGGCATCAACTTTTTCTGCCGGCAGTATTTCCTGCCAGCACCATCGATTCGACCTCGAATCGATGGTACTTCCATTTACTATGTAGCCCCCTAGCAAAATTAAGTCACCTTCGTACTCTACCATCGACCATCCAAAAATGCAAAATGAATAGCGCTAGTCCCGAATAGGAAATAGATGCTGTTTTCGAAAACTCTGCAGAAATGAAGGAATCATGCTATTCTGGGTCAAATTTCTTGATAAATTGCATGAGAATTGTGAAGGAATTGAGTAATTTGCATTGTATCAGCCATTTATGGAGCTCCCCGACGCTTCCTGAGGCGGTCGGGCCAGGAATCCTCGCGCTGGGCCGTACATGAAGCTATCCCCATGCTCGGCGAAGCAGGATTGCTCGCTGGCGATGCCGTACGAGCTTCCTGGGCCGCACATGAAGCTATTCCCACCCCATTGTCTCCCTGTGATGCCTGTTGTGTCCCTCCACGTCCTCTGCCACGTCCTCTGCCACGTCCTCGGCCGCGTCCACGGCCCCGTCCACCTTCCTGAGAAGCTTGTTGAGCTTCCTGGACCGTAGATGAAGCTATTCCCACTCCGTTCTCTCCCTGTGATGCCTGTTGTGTCCCTTCACGTCCTCTGCCACGTCCTCTGCCACGTCCTCTGCCACGTCCTCGGCCCCGTCCACCTTCCTGAGATAGCATGAGCTCGAAGCCGGAGGGGTCTCGCTGGGTGGAGGTGTCTTGGGTGCTTGCTTGGGTGCTTTCGCCGCCGCTGATGAAGTTCCTAGCGCCTCGGGGGCGCCCTCGCCGGCGCACTTGGAGAGGATCCTGGAGTAGGAGTAGCGGGTTAATAGGAGGTGCAAATACACTGTACAAATGCCAGTGTTGATGAAATAACTCAGGCTCAAAGCTCTTCTCCTCTTCTTCGTACTGTATGATGAGATGAATGCATGGGAACCCTGCCGTATTCTTCGAATTACAGCGGCAAAGTGGAGGAATCGGCGGCTTCTCATCGCTTGCTGGTCGATAGCGGTTGTAGACGTCTATTGTATGCTCTATCACCTTGGCCGAAATTCGTCCAACAACTAGCCTAAATAGCTGCTTCCAGCGAGTATCGGTAGACCTCCTAATCTTATCATTCTCGATCGTATCGGTGACCTTCTTGAATTGAAGCTTTACAGCATTCTCAAAGGTGCGGAGAACAACCAGTAGATCATTAGTCGAGACTTGAAGATCCTGCTTAAGCAGCCAGTGAGCTCCCTCGGTCCGAGAGGTCGAAATCTCGTTAAGATGAAGGTATTCGGAGGTGTATTCATGAAGGAAATACTCGGGGCAGTCGTCTAGCCATTCACTTTGTAGATACTCGAGTATTCTTGAAGCTGTTTCCATCTCTCCTGTCTCTCTTCCGTAGTGATAGCGTAGACGACACGAATCCACCGCTTTAGCATCATCTTCCACGCTTTATCGACCATTTCTCGAAGCTCTCGGTCTCTCTCTGCCTTCGTCCGACGCTGCGAGGAAGCTGAGGAAGCATTTGCTACAGCGTCAGTCTCTTGCCGAGCTTTTGCGAGCTGCTCAGCGAGTAGCGGACGCGCTTTCTTCAAGATATTCATGTTGATATGCCATAGACAGATCATATGCTTTGTGGAAGGGAAGACCACCTTAATGGCATTCATTAGCGCTTCTTCCTTATCGGTAAGGATCGTCCGGGGTGGCTCAAGGGTAAGAGATTCGAATGCTTCAGCAAGACAGCTGAGTATCACTTCATAGCTATCCTGCTTCTCATCCTTCATGAAGGCGAAGCCGACGTAAAAGCTTGATCCAGTAGCAGCAAAGCCAATAATATCGAGTAAGGGAAGGCCGTATCTATTAGTTTTGTATGTAGAATCCATTGAAATAACCCATGAATTAGTCCTAAGCATCGCAATACTCGACTTATGCATACAAAATAAGGCAGTGACGTGATTCTCATCATCTACCTCATGCTTGAAGATCCATTCGCCATCGCGCGGAAGCTCTATCAAGAGAGCTTGAAGCGGCGTACGGCCAGCAAGGAATTCAACATGAAGCTTCCTCCGAAGGTTATAGACGTCTCGGGCTGTAAGACATGACTCCTCATCCTCCTTTCGAATGCTAGTGAGGATATGACGTGTAGAAAGGCCCTGTTGGAGCTGCTTTTGAATCACCGGCGCCTTTGTAGATAGCTCCTGCTTCCGTTGAGCGACATGGGTAGATGGAGGCGAAGGCTCATGGTTATGCTCTTGCTTGTCGACCGTAAGCTTCCAACGACCGTCCTCTTGAAGCCGAAGCCGGAGTAAAAATGGGCAGTCAATAGCTATGGAGGTAGTCTGCCGCTTTCGCTCAGGGCCATCATTAGGCCGCGCTCGTAGAGTACGACCCCGGTCACAGCATAGCTTCACTATCTTTTTGACGCCTTTCTTAGCTATTGAGCGTAGTATTGAGACTGCATAGCCATGCTCGCGGGCGAAGGCATTGATCGCGGTGATTCCTTGCTCTGGCGTATCGTATTGCTCGAGAGGAGGTAGCGGGAGGATATGGAGGCTTGGCATCGCGTCATGGAGGCTTGGCACGGTGTTTTGGAGGCTTGGTATCGTCGGCGGGGACTCGGGAATAGCTTCAGGCTCAGAATCAGACGGCGAATTAGGCTGTGAGGAAGCCATTGTAAAAAGCAATAAAATGCGAGAGAAATGGGTGGAAACATGGGAGGTTTGAAGGTGTAAACAACAATTATTTTGGATTTCTTCTTGGGTACTACAGTGGTACGAGAGTGACTTATTTTTACTAGCAATTTACATAGTAATTGGAGGTACCTAAGGTGTGATATACATGCAGGGTAGTGGTAGCAATAAATAAAAGTTCGAGGATGAAGCGGTGAGAAAAGCGGTCAGTTGATGCCTGGCTTTTCAGGCAGGGGGTGGTGTTAGCATCCAAAGGGTGGTGTCTGTATCAATCCCCTATATATATATCTATCCAAGGTCGATGGTGGGGAAGCCATCCGTGAAGCACCCCCATTACTCTGAGTGTAGTGTTTGTCCCCCAATATATATCCATATACCCCCCCACACTATACGAAACCTCCCGTTTCTCCCCCCAGCCATAAAGTGTCCCCCCAACCATCGACGACCTTCCCCCATGCTCCCCCGTCGCCCCCCGTTACCCCCCAGCCCGGCGGCACATGCCTATGTCTACCAGCAAACTGGCGGGTCCTGACTAACCCCAGCATGAGATCACGTGGACGCCTCTCCGTCCCCCGTGCGCCCCGTGTACTTCCTCCCCGGGACGACATTGCCGCCCCCGCGGGCGGCGCGACGCCCAACGCCTGCCCCCCGCGCTGCCCGCCTCTTAACCCACCCCGACCGCCCGCCCCCGGCATCTCGCCAACTCCCCCGGCCCCGCCAACTGGCTACCTCCCCCCGGTGGCCTCGCCCCGGCCCCCCATCTGGGCCGTGACGCGCCCCCGGAGGCCTTTGGTTCGGAGCTAGGGGACTGGGGCCCTGCCGGCGGATGGGGGCTGCTCGAGGATCACGGGGGGTAAGCAAGGTCTCACCCAGCCAGGCCACCCCCACATGGCCCGACCCGTGAGTCCTTACCGCTCCCAAAACCCTCAACGCAACGCACCGCATCCGCCGGGACAGGTCTCCCAATTCGCCAGCCCCGGACCATCGGGCCCGGTTCGCCTCTACACAGACTCACCGACCCCGGTTGGGGGATAGAAATTCAGGCAACAGTAAACGGTGCCAGTTTTGTCAAATGGGCAGATTCCTACTATGGGCGTGGTCCGTGCCACGCAGTTTTCCCATACAAAGTGGGCCACCCGGGCCGGATCCTGGGTGACTTTTTGCGGACTTGGTCGCTTCCAAGTCGATATATCACGTACAGTACGGAGGACGGACCACTATGCCTGGCCCATCACTCCCCATGCTCCCCCCGGACCGTATCAATCGCCCCTGGCTACATCCC